AGCTTTTACCCAAAATGTCTGACACTGCATGCCTGACAGTAGATTTTTGTCACTGCAAGAGTCACTGGGTGTCCTCTCTCCAAACTGTCATCACATCTCACCTGAGCAAGTTACTAATCGTTACTTTTTCCTCAACGAACTCAATAGTAAAATAATCAGACCAAAGGTAACAAACTTCTTTGGAGGTGCTTAAAAGCAGTTCAAAACTTTTTCTATACTGCCAACCAGACAAAGATGAATGTGATTTCTGAAAACCAAAGACATTATCCAGCATATTGAAAAAGGCAATTTTGCCACCGCTACCAAAGACACATCTATGAATTTAAATAGTTATTGGCTAAATTGACCGAACACATAAGAGTCTAAGGTACATCTTTTCTGCAATACCCAATGCAAGGAATTACTCTAAGTTATTAACTAACATAAGACTACAACAGGGATATACAAGAAACCTCCTTGGTCAGGACCCAGGCTCCTGCAGTCTTCCCCAAGTACATCTAAAACAGCCTCTTGCATGAAAGATCAAGAAGTTTGTTCTGAAAGTGTGTAATTAAAAATAAGTAGTCAGGAATGTATCCTGTAGCATCTCCAACCAATGGTGTTGGATGCCAGAGAGGATGTGACAGGGAATAGATCACTCTAGATATACATTGTTCATACGCTTCCCTTCTAAAGCATCTACTACTGCTACTGTTGAAGACGCGTTACTGGGCTAGATGGGCCACTGGTCTGACCAATGGCACTTATGCTCTTAGCAATATTTTGTATAAGTATCTAGTCAAATATATACTGATCTGTATTACAAGATGCATAATAGGTTCCGTAAGCCCCAAAATGCGATTTTGGCTTACAATACTTAACAATAGTAAGAAGTTATATTTAGAAAATTGTATCTTTAAACTTCCTGCATTAATGGAAGCTTTAAGAACACAGTATACTACTTACAGATCCATCCAAAAATCTTTTACAGACATACCAGCCATGACTTGGTGATGCCACTTCAAACTACAGATGTTCTCTCATCCATCAAGAATCACGCAATCACCTCCCTCCAAACTATTATGGTATTTTAAAAAGATACTGTAGGTGGTCTGCCACTATCTTCTCTTCTAGCAGACTGGAAGCCACTGCTTAAAATCTCCTCAGACTCTAAAAGTGGATGCATTCTAATTTAAAAAAAAGGAGCAGGAAGAAGCTTTAGCTAGAACCCTTAACAGATGACACAGAACTACTTTTCTGAAATGTTGTTCACTTGTGGTACATTAAAGGGCCATATGGACTCCTAACAATAAGGGGACATTTGTTCACAACAGTGATACCTCTTTAGAGGTCATAAGAAAAAAAAAAAGGTTAAGACTCCCACAAGCCATCAGAAAGTCCCTTTTGAACTTTTGCATTTTATTTTCTTATGCCTTTTTCCTGCAAGATGCATTCCTGGCAGCATTTATGGTTTTCAGTAAGATGAAGAGACTTGCATTAATCAAAGCAATCATCTAGGTTTTTTTGGCACCTTGTCATATTTGTCCAATTCTCAACAGTGCCTTGTCACATCCCACTATTGCACATAACAGAACTTGGGGTATTCTTGAATATCCCAACATTTCTAAATAGGTGCCTACCTCAACCAAATTTCAGCAAAAGTAAAATTTTAAGTTTTTTCTTTGAAGGTTCTCACACAATGAAATTCTCTCTCTCAGCTGACTGCCATTTGCCCAAATCACAGAAGGGCAGACACGTTATATTAATCCAGTAGAAAATCTAACCAAACCAAAATGTAAAGAGCTCATGGTAAATCACAATCATAGAAATTAGGGGTGGAAGGGACCGCAGGAAACCATCTAGTCCAACCAGCCATCTAGCCCTACCCTCCTGCTCAAAGCAGGACCATCCCCAACTACATCACCCCAACCAAGGCTTCATCTAGCCAGATCTTAAAAGCATCCAACCATGGGACTCCTACAATCTCTCTAGGTTTCAGTATTTTATACTACCCTCCTATTGAGAGAGTTTTTCCTAATATCTAACCTAAATTTCCCTTGCTGCAACTTGAGACCGTTGCTCCTTGTTCTGTCATCTGCCACCACTGAGAACAGTCTAGCTCTAGCCTCTTTCGAACCCCACTTCAGGTAGTTGAAGGCTGCTATCAAATCTCCTCTCAATAAACCTAGTTCCCTCAGCCTCTCCTGATAAGTCATGTTCCACAGGCCCCGAACCATTTTTGCTGCCCTCCACTGGACTCTCTCCAATTTGTCCACATCCTTTCTGTACTGGGGGGGCTTAAAACTGAACCATAATACTCCAAATGAGGCCTCACCAGTGCTGAATAGAGGGGAATAATTGCTTCCCTTGATCTGCTGGCAACACTCCTAACACAGCCCAGTATGCCATTAGCTTTCTTTACAAGAACAGCACGTTGCTGGCTCTTATTCAGCTTATTGTCCATTCTACCCTCCAGGTCCTTTTCTGCAGAGCTGCCAGTCAGTCCCCAGCCTGTACCAGTCCATGGGATTGTTCCCTCCTCAGCGCAGGACTTAGCACTTCTCCTTATTGAACCTCATGAGATTACTTTTGGTCTAATCCTCCAATTTGTTGAGGTCTCTCTGCATCCTAGCCCTCCCCTCCAGCATATCTACTATTTTGCTGAGCTTGGTGTCATCTGCAAACTTGCTGAGGGTGCACTTCATGGCCTGGAAGATGGTATTGGTGAAGACACTGAACAAAACTAGTCCCAGGAGCAACCCCTGGGGCGCACCTCTTGATACTGGCTGACAACTAGACATCAAGGCATTGATTACTACCTGTTGACCCCAATGATCCAGCCAGTCGTCTATCCAGCTTACAGTCCGTTCATTAAACTTGTATATATTTAGCTTGCTTGTGAGACCACGTCAAAAGCCTTGTTAAATTCCAAGAAACAAGTTCTTGTACCAGTTCGATAAACACAATTATGTTCTCTACATACAACATAAACATTCAGTGTCAGGGAAGCACTTTTAGGGGATTTTTAAAGCTTTTTTGAAGTGAGACTGCTTGTTTTGTACTGTTACATTCCCAAAGACAGCAACTAATTTAATTGTACCAATACTCCTTGGGTGTCAAAAGATGCAAAGTATTATATTATATAGACATTTACAGTGCGTCTAATGGGTTGCTCAGTAAGTCTGGTAGGTTGGCAAAAAATCACATAATTGACATTGGACTCAATACACACTTAAAAAAAATTGCAATGAAAAGAAACGCTACACGCAAGTTACTTATTTTATGGATGCCCAGTGGTTTGAGTATGCAAACCTTCCTGCTCATTTTCTATTGCATGCACAAGCATTGGGTCTTGAACAGTTCAACTGACCAACATTTACCAAGTTAGAGGCCTGGGCCTCCTTTTAAAACCTTCTCTGCTAGCAGGAGCTGAATTTCTGTACAGGTAGGGGTGCCCCAATAAGAGATTTTTTGGACAATACCGACAGCCAATTATTAACCAGCCACATATACCAATTTGATTGCCAATATGCAGCCCCACAGCTTGGAGAGAAGCATCCAGACAGTAAGTCTATGGGTGGGAAGGAGCCAGGTCGAGGCCCCCAGTATGTGAGAGGGACTGGGCACAGCTGTGGGCAGCTCATCCAGGGGGTACAGGCGGGGGCGGGGGGAGGAGTGTTGGCTCCCCACTGCTGCACATACCCCCAAGGAAGCATGGGGGAACATGCCTCCCCACCAGATCTGTGCGCAGGGAGAGGGCGGGCTGCCCACTGCGGGCTCAGGGGCAGGGCTTGTGCTGGCCTCTTCTTGGTGAGAGGCTGAGTCGGGGAGGTGGTGGTGCTGGGAGGGGGTGCTATTGGCTGAGCTACAGCCACCCCAAAATTTGCTAGTCCTCCCATAGGCCCCCTTCCCAGTGCTGCCGCCCCCCTGCTCCTGCCCGCCTCAGTGCAGCCCTGGCCCAGCCCCTGCCCCTGTCCCAGGAAGAGGCCAGTGCAGCCCCTGGCCCTGAGCCCACAATGGGTAGCCTGCCCTCGCCCTGCACAAATGCTGGGGGCACGTGCTCCTCATGCCTCCCCAGGGGTATATGTGCAGTGGCCGGGAGCTGCCCTCCCCTCCCCCCATGCCCCCGGATGAGCCACCTGAGGCTCCATCCCACACCTAGCTGGGCAGCACCTGCCCCTGGCCTGGCCCCACTCCCTCCCTCACTGTGGGGGGGCCTCAATCTGCCCCCCACCCCCACACCTCTTCCCCACTAGACTTACCAGCTAGACACTGCTCTCCAAGCTGTCAGGCTGCATTCCTGGCTGTGCGCAGCATTTAAATCGGTGATGGTATTGGCTATACCACCCAAAAACAATCAACTCCTGATCGTGCCAATTTCCATTTAATCGGTGCCGATACGATATGGACAATATATTGGTACACCTCTATGTACAGGAGTACTTATTGACTCCCACTCCTTGTGGCAAATGCTGCTTTGTTTCTACCAACTAAGGTGTTGGTAGAACTCCGGCAGCAGAAAGTAGCTGCATCTATACCGAGACCTCTGCTGCTGTCGTTCTGTTGCCAGAGTTAGAGCAGCAGAATCCCTGTAGCACAGGCTTAAGACCAAGTGTTTTTTGGAACCCTAGAAAAATAAAAAAGATGGCAAGACACATCTGGGATACTAGTTTGTACAGGTTCCAATAGACTTTTAGCTATCAAGGGTGATCTTTAAATGAAATACGGTGAGGGTTCTTGTAAGTGCTCCATCTAATCCCAACTGTATTGTCTGCAAATCCCTTCAATCATGTAAACCACAGAAGCAGGAAGAGATTTGTGAGACTCTGGGCCTGTAATGCAAATAATTTTTTCTTGCACATGGAATGTACTCCACATCCACAGTCCTCCACTAAACAGTCTTAAGACTGCTTTTTTAGCAGTGATTTTTAACAATTAGAGTACATGGAAAACACTAGAAAGGTTTGCCCTCAACACGCACGTGCGCGCGCACACAAAAAAATCTAAACACACATACTTACTTGCATTCCCCAGGGGCACTGCAACCCCCATGGAGCAAATTACATCCTTGTTTACATACAGCTGTAAATAGAAAAAAAGGTTTAGGCTTCAGTTGGTACGGGCAGTTAGATGTCAGGTAGTATAGCAACACAAACAGCCAGTCTAGCAATTACAGCAGTTTAAGAATGGGGTAATTATTCATTGCACATTCCTAATACAAGGTTGGTCTCCCCCCCCCCATATAAATAAATATATAAACCTGAGGTAGTCTGAGGCTGAATGAAGCGCTAAAACACTCATGACATTCTTATACTAAATTTGATTTCTACAGGAGTGTAGCCACTTTTGAAACTGGTCACACACTAAAATTAAATCCCTAACTCTCCTCCACATTACTAGAAAAACTGCTGCATCTTAAAATCTTTAAAGTTCAACAAAGATGCGTCTAAATTCATGCTTCGTCTCATCATGTGACCTTTGTTATAAGCACTTTTGTCTTATGTTAAAAAGAATCTCATGCAAATGTCAACTGTCTTTCAATGAGTAAAATACACGAGGCAAAATGCCAAGGCTGAAGCTTGAAGATTATCAGTCGGGGTCCAGGCTTTCTCCATTTAAAAACTGCAAATACTTTGATAAAAATTCCTAATTCTCCAATTTAAAACCCCAAGTCCACTTTTTTCCCCCACAATTAAAATGAAACGAGATTATATCTATATCTCAGTTTAACTTTTTATTAACATTCACAATTTTAAAGCAAATTTGGAAGCCTACCAGGTGCCTCAGTTATTATAATAAAATAAAATTCTAAATATCTATACATCTTGGGGTTTGATTTTGGTTCCCCCCCGCTCTCAAATCATGGGAAAATCAGAGTTCCCCCCCATCACTAGGATGCAGGTCCAGCTGTGGCTGCCTTCCCCCGTTTTGTGGCACTGAGCAGCTCCGATATGCTGGTGCCCCTCACCCCTGACCTGCAACCCCCCACCTCCCCTGGTACTTCTTACTCCTGTGCCACAGCTGTCCCAACCCTGCTGGTGCCCCTCTCCCAACCTGCAACCCCCTGTCCAGCCCTCAGCTGCCTCTGTCTAAACTGGGCTGGAGCACAGCAGCTGCAATTTGTACAGGCAGCAACATAGTGAGTCTGGCCCCGGCGTGAGCTGGACGGAGAAGGAGGGAAGGCCTGTGGTACCCACCAACCTGGGCTGGGGCTCCTGTGTCACACCAAGCTGCCTGACTTCCCCTCCCCACCCTCCCGGTTAGCATCGCCTGGTGCCTGCGAGCACAAGCACCAGCCCCGGAGCCACCAGCTTGGCCATGCAGTTCCCCACGGCCCCCAAAGGGTCCCCCCACCTCATTCCCCTACTGGAGAGGCAGGTACCTCCCTCCTGCCCCTGCCACAGCCCCAGTGCCTGGATACCTCTTTCAAGCGCTGGGAGGCACTTAACACCCCCCCCCCCCCCAACAGTCCCCAACCCCTGGCCCTCCAATCCCCCCCACAGCCTTACCTGCATCCTGCTGCCAGGGCTGCTCCCACCACACTACCTAGCTGTACGCCAGCCACGTACAGGTGCATATGCAAACACATGTCCCCGGCTTCCAATCACCCTTCCCCCGCTCCCTTTAGCCCCAAGAAGCTCCCTGCAGGCTGGAAGACTGCTAGCCTACACAGGGAAACCCACAATTTCTATGGCTTTCTCCTTTAAAGGAGAAAATCTGTATTTTAAAAACTTTAAACAGTAAACTTTTAAAACACTTTGAACTCTGAAAGGAACCTCCTTGAACAGCATTAAATACTAGTAGTTAAACTGAAAGCTGCTTAGTTTGGTAGGCTTGTGCATGCTCTACAGCAGGGGTCAACAATTTATGGCTCATGACCTACAGCACCATTACATCTGTCTCGTGAACCTGGTGCTTTGGCAGCAGGGGGCCTGGCTGCAGGTGTTCTCCCCATGCTGCCATAAAGAAAAGCCCCAGTGGTGGCCAGGTCCTAGCATCCACCAACCCTGCCTGCCTTTGACTTAGGGTGAATCATTTTGGCTTGCAGTCAGAAAGAGGTTGCCTACCCCTGTTTGAAAAACGCACACAAATTCTAAGCATTCCTTTGGGGCAAGACACTAAGACATATCAAAAATAACTAAGCATTTTTCACTTGGTCCTGTACTGTGCAGCAGGATTAATTTGGGGCACCAAACAGCCCCTGAGCAACAGGTCTTCTAGTTGCAACACACAAAAAAAAAAAATCCATTACCTTGCTTACACTCTTCTCCCATCCAACCTTCCATGCAGGCTTTGTTTCCATTTTGGTCACATGTGTAGTGACCAACAAAGTCATCACGAGGTCCACAAAATTTATTGCATAGTGCACTGTAATAATTTTCATCGCATTTCACTCTTATCTGTACTTCAAAATGGGCGACGGGACCATTAAAATGTACTGTCGTCCATCGATCTTCTGGATTGATCATACCAGCATGCGCCACTCTCTCTATTAGCAGATCTTCACCTATTTAAAAACAAAAACAAAAAACCCCCCACACTTTAATATTACAAGCTTGATATCGCACAAATGCTAACTTTATCTAAATTTAACTTTGATACCTAGAAAGATACCAGAGCACACCATCAAAAGATACTGCAATTTTTAAGCACATGGAAGATGAAGTGATAAAGATCAGCCAATATGAGTTGTAAAGAGAAAGTCAAGCTTAATCCATGTAATAACCTTCTATGTCTATGCAACGGGCTTCATCAAGTGGTGGGAAGAGTATAATACAATGTACATTTCATATACATTTTCTCCAGTACACTGCAATTTTAGCAAGATTTTGGACAATCACTCATGAGATTTTCATGAGCAAGCTAAGGAAGTAAATCTAGCTGGCACTATGCTAAGCTAAGTGCATGACTAGTTGGCTCAATGTCCAACTGGGAGGAGGTATCAAGGCAACAGAAGATTGGGAAAGTGCAAGAGATCACCCTGGCTAGATGGAAATCTTTTCAATGAGCTGAAACGCAAAATGAAATCCTATAAGAAGTGGAAACTCTGTACTAGGGAAGAGTTTAAGCACATCCCCTAGGCACAAAGGAACAAACTTAGGAAGGTCAAGGCACACAGATGCAGCTAGCAAGGAACATAAATAGGCAAGAAAAACGGGATTCTGCAAGTATGTCAGAAGAAAGGACGAAGACCAGAGAAACCATAGGTCCCTGAATGTAGAGGGCAACCTAATTATGGATGAATCGGAGAAGGCTGAAGTATTTAATACTTACTTTACTTCAGTTTTCACAAATAGGGGCAGCTATCAGATGATGAGTGCATTTGAAAGAAAAGATAGGGAAGGAGACAAACAGGAGGCCCATAGTTGGCCCACAAGTTGGGAAATTTGGTGGTGGAAGAGCAGTGGCCATTAATATGGCCACCCCCCCACCCTGCCAAATTCCCAAACCCCAAGCCCCACGTGCCAAGTAGGGCCGGGTTGGGGCTGGGCCATACCCACTTTTCCCGGCAGGGCCAGTGTAGGGTTGGGCCATGCCTCTCTCTCTCTCTGAAGCTTGGCCACACAAGTTTTCCCCTGCGGGCTGAGTCAGGCCTCCTCCTACCTCGTGGGGCTGGGTCAAGCCCCCTTTCCTTCTCTCCCCCCCTGCACTGGTCCATGTTGTGGCCAAGCCACACTCCCTAACCCATGTGAGGTTGAGCCATGCCACCTTCACTCCCTCCTCCCACCAGGTCACATCCTTCTGCACCCCCTGTCCCAACTCACAGGGCTGGGTGAGGCCCCTTTTCCCCCCCTGCAGGGCCAAGCTCCAAATCACCATTTGACCCACAGTTGGACCAGGCACTGCCCATCCAGCCCACCAGGGAAAAAGGTTGAACACCACTGGCCTAGAGTAATGCCAGATTATGTTAAGGATTACTTGGAAAAGCTAGAAACTTCCAAGTCAGAAAAGCTAGAAGGACTGCATCCTAGGAATTAGCCAATGGCTCCAAAATTACCTTTGCTATCCTCTTTTGAGAGCTCAAGAGCATGTGCAAATTTCTGCACATGGAATAAAATAATTACATGTACAAATACAGACTGGGGGAAAGCTTCAGTGTTGCAGAGGAAGACCCAGGGGCCATGGTGGACCACATGCTGAATATGAGTCAGTGTGCTCTTGTTGCAAAAAAGCCAACAGTATCCTGGGTTGTATTAACTGCAGTCTTTCTTGCAAGTTAAGGGAAGTGATTCTTCTCTTCTGTTCAGCGCTGATGAGGTCTTACCTGGGTACTGTGCCTAGTTTTGGGCTCCAGGCTTCAGGAAGGATGTGGGCAGTTTGGAAAGAGACCAGAGTAGAGCAACAAAACAAATATGGGCCTGGGAAGCAAGACTTAGGAGGAAGGCTGAAAGAGCTATGGCTACTTAATTGGGTAAAGAAAAGACTGGGGGGGGGGGGGGGGGGGGGGGGTTTGTAAATTGGGAAAAAAAAAGGGGGGGGGGGGGGGAAGGGGGCGGGATTTGATAACAATCCTCAAATACTTGGAGGGTGATGACAGAGGGTGGAAACGGACTTCTCTGTGGACATGGAGGTCAGGACTAGGAGCAATGGCCTCAAGCTGCAGCAGGAGAAATGTAGACTGGAGACTAGTAGGAACTTTCTAACTATACAAGGGTGGCCAAGCACTGGAACAGGCTACCTATAGAAACTGGGGAATCTCCACCCTTGGGAATTTTCAAGAGCAAGACAGACAGACACTTGGTTGGATAGTTTAATCAGGGATGATCCTGCCTTGAGCAGGTGGCTGGACTAGTTGACCTTGTGAGGTCCGTTCCAGCACTATTTGCATATGATCAAGAGGAAGAGACTCCCAATGGGTGTGTGTCCTGGGGCTAGTTCAGTTCAATATCTTCATTAGTGACCGAGAGGATGGAACTGAGGCCACTTAGTTGCATAGCAGGATGGGATAGCAGACACTTGGGAGGATTAGGATTCAAAGTGACCTTGATAAGTTGGAAACATGGTCAAACAAATCAGATGAAATTCAGAAAGGACAAGGGCAAAAATATGCAGCACTTCAGATGGAACAATGAAATGCACCAATACAAAATGGGGAAAGACTAGCTACAAAACAGGGAACAACTGCAATGATATAGGAAAGGACCTTGGGGTTATAGTGGAAAGAAAGTCAAATAGAAGCCTACAGTAGAAAACAGAACCAGAAAACCTAATAGTGTATCAGGCTTAGTTAACAGGAGTGTTGTATGCAAGTCCTGGGAAGCAATTCTTCCATTCCTCGCAGCACTGGGGAGGCCTCACGTAGAGTCGTGTGTTCAGTTTTGGGCACTGCACTTGAAGAAAAATATGGATGAACTGAAGACAGTGCAAAGGGAGGCAGCAAATACAATTAAAGGTGTAGAGAAATATGCCATATGGAGAAAGGTTGGAGGAACTGGAACTATTTAGTCTGGAGAAGAGGATAAAATGGGGGCAGTCTTCAAGTACAATTTCAGCCCCTTAAAACTTGTTCCATCTCATGTGGGCATACATCAGTTGTTCACTATCCCCTTTTATAACAACAACCTATAAAAATCCTTAAGGTTTTGGTAACTGGGTAAGTACCAGGATAGATTTACCTTGAGGTTTGTTGGATATCTATCACAGAAAGTTAAGTGAAGGTTAAAGACGTACACACACAGTTTAGATGGGGAAGTTCCTGCCTTGCACAGGGGCACTGGACTGGCTGACCTCCTGAGATTCTTTCCAAATCTAGTTTTCTGTGATTACATGGAAACATCCCCCACAATATAGAATAACTTCTACTTTTCTTTTAAATCAGACAATCTTTACTATAAAAATCCTTAAGGTTATTCAATCCTGAAGGACTGCCAGCAAACTTATTTTTTTCTTGCCTTGTAAAGCTCATCAGGTTTAAAAAATAAATAAAAACAACGAAAGGAAATATTAAAAACCTGGAGCATAATCTATAGGAAATGGCTTATTTTTCAAGGCAGCAAAACACACCACACCCATACAATGACAACCAACAAATCCATCTTAATGACAGGCTCTAGTTCCTTTTTGCTCTTACAAAAAAATGGCAAAATCTGCATAAATCCTGTACCTAAAATATTGGAATAGGACGTTGAGCAAATTTTTTAAGATGGCAAAGCAACCTGCTCAGTTTGTTAGCTGTAAAATGACTAAGGAACCCCTCACTCCTAACACACATGTATTCTTTAATATAATTTTATTTTACTTATGTACCAAGCTCACCCACCAGCTGTTGCCCTCTTCCAGAGTTGAAAATAGGACATTTTAGTACAAAACCTAGACTGGGTATCTGTTACTAAATAAGCCTAGAGTTCACCCGTGATCATTTATGATGATATATTAGTTATTCTATACCATGTTCATTTTTTTCAGTACAATTAAACAAATAGCTCATTGTGTAGCTCTCACACACTTGATATAGTGCCACCCTCAAAATGGAGTGGTATGACAGGTGGCAACCAGGGTGAACGAAGACATTAAACATTAAGTAGTCTCACGTGAAGACTGTTATATGACACAAGGTTAAGGAACTGCCAACACTGGGCTTGTTCTGTAGGTAGACTTAAATTTCCATTGCTGACAATCGCTTCCATGAGCAGCACAAGTGGCTGTGGATTTGCTCTGCACCTACAGCCTCAGGCAATGAAAAATGAATATTAGGCTTCATTTCCCCAGCTCTACAATCCAATACTGCATGACTACATACATACTATATACAAAAGTTTACACAGGGGGAAACCTCCCCCCCCCCCCCCCCCCCAAGACCTAAAAATTCCATATTTAAAACTTCTAAATTTAAAAACTGAAATACAAAAATTTCCATAGTGAATATTTTCACTGAAAAGGAGTTAAAAGAGCAACCTAAACATCTTCAATTTAAAAGCTGATAATGTGGTACTATGACAACTTTCCTAAGTTATTTACTGAAGTTTACATAATATTGCAAATATTCTTCACAAGCAATTCCTGAAGTGGTTAAGTATACTAAATACAAACTCTACAAATTGTAACAAAAGAGGTAACGTTACCAAATAAAGGACACTTGCTATTCAAAAAACAAATACTCATGTTTAAAATAAAGACTAAGAGGAACAGAAAATTCCACGTGAATTGGGGGTGGGGAAGAGAAAGAGGGGGGAAGGATGGGGTGTGGAGGGCGTCAAGTAGTGGGATATAGTATCTCAAATAAAAGTTCCAGTTCAAATCTAAAATCAAGCCAGGATAAAAAAAAAAAAAAAAAGAAGTTACCCTAATAAGGTTTCAGTACCCCATGCAAACCAATTTTGTTTTGTTCACTGGGAACTGGATAGAGGTATTTGGCTCTTTTTGTCCATTCCTATTCTTTAAAATTTCATAACTGCCTCAGTCAGTGACTCTCAACCAGGGTTCCTCTTTGAGATCCTTTCTAGGGTATTGTAGGAGTGCAAACATGCTCCACAAGATAAACCAAGAGATATCAAATAGGAATCCATA